GGGGGGGGGGGGGGAAGGAACAAGAAGAGAAGAAGAATTTCAAGGAAAGGTGGTAGAGCCGGCTGGCCCAGCTCAGTAGGTACAGCTCACGGGGGGTAAGCGGGGGAGGGGCACCGTCGATAAATGGAATTGGCGGCCTGTTTTTCATTTCGGCCTGCCGAAACTGCCCGCGGCCGACATATGGGAGAGGTACTGGTGGCTTAAGTCCATTGCCCTTTTGAGAAGAAAAAAAAAAGGAAAGGTGCAAGCAACCGAAAGAAGATAAGTTGTTGAGATAGAGAAAGGGAAGAAGGTGTGTACAATGTGTAGTACTGTGTACGTTTGGAATTGTAATATGGTAATGGCCCCGGTAACAAATGTCTGGTTGGGACGCTGGACCCGATTTCCAGCAGGTGAAACTCCCCACCAATAGACTGGTGCAACTGGCACCTGGGATGCTAGGGAGGGATGCCCTTATCAACCCCCCCTAGAAGGAGGGCACCAGTTATTGAAACAAAACACAAAAAAAAAACACGTAAGCTACTAAGCTTCACATTACTCATATGCCCTCCCTCCTTTCTTTCTTTCGTGTTCTTTTTCCCTGTTTTGAAGTTTTTTTCTTTTTTTTTTTTACCCCCCTCCTTCCTTATGACCCCTGTGTGTGGATTATGTGTTGTGACTCAAAACTGCAGGGAAAGGACGGGGAGGATAATGTCATGGCCAACAACCCTTCTTTCCAGGACGGGCGCAAAAGGAGCCCACTTGACCAGAATTTTCTTGGCCAGTGTCATCTGCAGCCCTGTATGGTATGATGCCTTCCAATTGTCAGAGCACTTATTGCTTTCCAATGTGTCTGTACTAATTCTTAATAGGTGTGTCATATTTGCGAAATTTTTACCGAAACTACCATATTTCCCTGAATTTTTACTTTTTTTTTTTTTTTTTTTTTTCCCAATGTTTGTATTGCGAGCATGCATTGTTTGTTCGCGAAAGCTTCAGCAACATTGTTTGTGGTGATGCGGCGAAAAACCCCGAATTTTGGGCCTTTCATTAACCATCTCTCAGTAAACCACATGTACGGCCGACCCTCGTTTTTCTGATGCCAATTTCAGCCGCGAGCTAAGTTTTGTCAAACCGGCGCAAGTGCGAAATCGAAAAGATTTGGCTGTCACCGCCAGCCATGCCGTTTTGGCAGCCCAAGCACCAAAAGTCATGGTGCATTTATGGCCTCGTCGAAACAAAGTGACCGGGGAAAAGTCTGAGTAGTAAAAAACATACTTGCAAGTGTGGTGATGCCAATTTCGGCCACGCTCTGAGTTTTGTCAAACTGGTGCAGGTGCAAAATTGAAAAGACAGTAGTAAGCATTGTACCTTGGGCTGGGTACACTGCTTACGCTTGTTTGTTTGTTTTTGCCCTTCTTCCTTTCGTTTTTTTTCTTTGAGAAAAATGAATGGTTTCAGTGTGCCCTTCATGTTTGTCTTGTTTTTTTATTTTTACCGTTTGTTTTGCGAAGTGTGTTTTTTTAGTTCATAGATATGTGAGAAATTGAGAATATGTATAATATAAGTGATCTTTACTCTTCGCGAGAAAGATACTGAGCTCTGTCAACAGGTTGGTGTTCGATGGTGTTGGATGGTTCAGAGTGCCAATGAAGCGGCGATTGATCTGAAAAAAAATGCATCGTCTTTTTGTGAACTCTCTTCTTGCACTATTGATTTTACAACAATGTACACCAGCCTTCCTCATAACCGCATTTTGAATAATGTGGCAGAAGTTGTTGATGGAGTCCATGCTTATGTCCTTCGGCATACTCGCACGCATTTGTGTTGCAGTTCCCTGAACATGGTTATTCGAGGACCTCATTATGGCCAATTGACAACTGATTCAGGCTCGGACACCGTTTCCGTTCCTAAGGTTCTCCAACATCTTTGCTTCGGTGTACAAAACACTTTTCTGTACACTAGAGATGGTACACTTCGGAAGCAAATTATCGGTATTCCAATGGGAACAAATGTTGGCCCAAAAATTTCAAATCTGACGTTGAATTGGGATGAGGCACACTTTGTTGATAACATTTGTCAACATGATCTTCAAGTTGCTCAACAATACACCTTCACTTATCGATGTTCTTTCGTGTGGGCAATAACCTTCTCCTCTAGAGCACTATGGGCTTGAGTGGAAGGAAACTACAGTGACAATTAGCTTGCATACCTTTTCAGGTATGTGTCTAGCGTTCTGATGGCTCGCTGCGCATGAGCGTGTTTAATTAAGCGGTTGCTTGGGATTTCTCTGTCATTCGTTATCCAAGTGTGACCTCCCACATCTTTTCCCATCAATCGGCAGGTGTGTTCACTGGACAATTGGCAACTGCGGAAACAACACTTACTAGTGGCATGCTTTTTCGTGGGCATTCCCCACTAACCCTTGCTAAGGGTTGGATCTGCTACATGCGTTCCCACCAACATCGCTATCCTACGCATATGACGTGTCTCTCTCAGTGGTTCACACGCATGCTGCAATGATCCCTGAATCATCCACTTTCTTCTTTGCCCCCACGTCTCTCTTGTCATGCTCCTACTTGCTCATCTGCAACTGCTGCAATTTTCAATCACTACAATGCAATGGTTTATGTATTCATGTGTGTAGAGGAGGCGCCCTCCGCATTTGGACACTGTATGTCCACTTTGCAGCCATAGGCGCTATACTGAATGCATCATTTTCGTGGTGAGCGTTCTTCCTTCATTTTTTTTGGCCTGCAATTGACATGCCATTTGTCGGGAGTGAATGGTGGGCATGCTCAATGTCAGTCGTGGCAATTGTTGTACTGAGAATGCTCGGTTAGGTCTTCCATGTGCTCATCCACCTCATCCTTACAATGTGTGTGCTCTCTGTCGTCAAGGACAGACTCATTCTTGAGCCTTTTCTTATCCTCTCCTCTGCCTTCATCTTCGTTCCACACTCTGTACTTTCCCTTACTTTCCCTTACTTTCCCTTTTTCATTATTTTTTTGTCTTCTCTTCATCTCTCTTCCCTGTGTTTATCACCTCCCCCTTTACTCTGCCTCTTTCTCACAGCGTACAAGTGGGCCGTTATGGCACACGGGGATGCGGGCAGCTTGCACTCAACTTCATCAATGTGGCGAGCCTTGTACGTGAGAGACACGGCGAAGGGGGAGTTAAAAGAAGAATGAGAAAAATGAATGGTTTCAGTGTGCCCCTCATGTTTATCTTGTTTTTTAATCTGTACCGTTTGTTTCGCAAAGTGCGTTCTTAAGAAGAAAAAAAAAAAGAAAAAAAAAAAGAGTGCGCTCTTTTAGTTCGTAGTTATATGACAAATATTGATTTGTGACAATATTCCTGTGCGGAAATCAGTTCACATGATGATGACTTCTAATATGGAAAGTCTGGCTTGGAGCGCGGATGAAAAAAATAAAAAATTATGCTTTGTGCTAGTTTGTAGAATAAATTCCAAAGAAAAAATAGGTTATGAAGTGCAAAAAAAAAAAGCAAATTGCAGACTACTTATTTTGATGTTTCTGATTTTTCACTCATGTGGGATCGGTGCTTCCGAATTAAATTATTGATGTAAGTATTTTTTTTATTCCACAATCAACAGATCGAGTGCTCGAAGCACGGCGTTGCCATGAATGGATCATGTCATTGTGACCCTATTTATTCCGGAGCTGACTGCTCGATAGGTAAGGACTCCGAGAACAACTTCTTGCCATCATAAACAATTAATACTATTTAAGAGTAATATAGTAATATACATATTATTAAATAATAAATATCATTTTGAGTATGTTGATATTAAATAATAACTCATAGTTGCAGTGCACCTCGGTGCGCGAATTTGCGCACGAAGTGCGCACCGCGCACCGCATAGCGCACTGGAAAAATGAGGTCCACAAAAAAAAAAAAGTAGGTGTTTTCAACTGTTTTGTAATTTCTTAGGGCCCCCAACTCGGCAAAAATGTTAAACTCACCGCGCGAGCTTAGAAACCGGCCGCGCCCCAAGCTCGAAATTTTCTTTTGGGTAAGGGCTGCCAAATTTCGATTTCTGCAGGCCCTTCCCCCAAAAGTTTCAGAATGGCGAAGCATAAAATACTTAAAAAATAGGGCTCATTCCATCTTTTTTTTTAGGCGGGGTATGAAAGATGTTCTTCCCGCTCCCTTCTGCAAATCCCACACAGTTGTGGGGTAAGTTTGCAAAAAGGGGCAGTCGCCTGATATCGACCTGCCCCGCGAATCTTCGTAGAGATCACAAGTTACGTTTTCTATGGCCAGCCGACTACCAATATATGTTGAAGATTGGCGTTCAGGTCTGCATGTCGGCAGTTTGGGTTAGGATGAAGACGCCTGTGGCTCTCTCATTTTCTTGTTTTTGTTTTCTTACGGTCCAGTGGGGCCTGCTCCACTACTCACCAAATGCACAAAAGACATAGCATATGGCGGTGTATGGTTCCATGTTTCAGCAGAAGATTCATTCTACTAATATTATATACATTTGGTGAGTGGTGGAGAGAGGCCCTGAGAATCACGTGGAGACACGAACAGGGTCTAGCTGAACTGGTGACCCATAACTGCCGAGCTACAGCCATGAACTCGAATCCACAGTATATATTGGTGGTCTGCCCCCATGTGTTTCGTGCATGACGAGGCCATCCTTCTCAGTGAAGCAGCTGCCCTCAATAGCTCCCCATGCGTTGTAGGAGCCATTCGTGGTACCTGCAGGGGCTTTCGAATTGACACAAAGGGGATCCTTTTTTGTCTCTCTCTCTCTCTCTCTCTCTCTCTCTCTCTCTCTCTCTCTCTCTCTCTCTCTCTCTCTCTCTCTCTGGGCCTCGCCACACCAATGTCGAAACATCACGAAATTCGACATATGTCAGGAGATTCTCGACATTCCCTCTTTTGACAGAAAACCCCTCTTCGCCACACGGCATGTCCAAGTGAAGAACTCATGAGTCGTATGCACAAAAGAGACAAACTGGGGTGAAGATAGGACAAGCGTTGGTGCGTTCTCTTTTTTGACATTCGGGCAAGAATTCGACATCCCATCGGAGGACTGTTGAGAATGTCCAAGTTGCAGGTTGGGAAACGAGCCCGTATCGAGAGCGTTGGTTCGTTCTCTTTTTTGACATTCGGGCAAGAATTCGACATCCCATCGGACGACTGTTGAGAATGTCCAAGTTGCAGGCTGGGAAACGAGCCCGTCTCGAGAGGAGGTGTCGAAACCCTTTCCCTGGCAGCTCCTGAATTTTTTTTGCATCTCGGATTTCGACATGCTGTGTGGCGAGGAGAAAATGTCGAAAAAATCAGTTTTCGACATTGGTGTGGCGAGGCCCTCTCTCTCTCTCTCTCTCTCTCTCTCTCTCTCTCTCTCTCTCTCTCTCTCTCTCTCTCTCTTGGGCCCTGTCTTTTTTTCTTTTCTTTTTTTTTATCGCGCACATAGCGCACCTCCCTCAGCGCGCGCACCGCGCACAGCGGACCACACTGTGTGCAGCGCACGGCACACAGTGCGCGCGCTGTCATTCAAGCGCACAGCGCAGTGCGCACCGCCCCGCACCGCACTGCGCACTTGTGCACCGCAACTATTAAAACTTAAAACTTAAAAGTTAATTTAAACCAGTATTGTTTTTGCGTTTATTATTATATATTACATAGAAACAAATTAATAATTAGACATTTTCTTTGATAAGTGTAACAACTGCTCCCGTCCAAGGCAGTGTTTTGAGGCTCGCGGAGTCCATCCGTATGCTTGCACAGGGGGATTAAGAGATTACTCCATTCCATTGATCTTGCCTTGATTATCTACAGACGTAAAGGAGTATTTCGTAATCTGAGTGGCGTATAAGTAGAAGTGTTGAGATCCTTGATGGTATTCTCATATCAAGGGGCTGTGGGGAGGAAGGTGATAGCGCCATGAAAGTAAAACTCATGTCATCTTCTTCTTGTTTATTTCCATGCATATTTTTATTATAATTTTATTTCCCTTGGCAATGACCCTCAAGTGCCCGTGGCTAAGATAGGCACCAGAGTGAGGAGTGGCATACAGGCGTGAAAACTTAAAACGGTTACGCATGTGCTGTGATCGCTGGTTTAGCCAAGGTTGTATTCACAATCACATATGTAAACCATTATGTAAGGACCTGCCAAACACGTAGTGAGACAGCTGATTTCTGAGTTTTGCCAATGGAATGTATGGCTTGCTGAGTTTCCCGCTTGTTGCTGAGTTTTCTAAGTCTGTATGTGTTACATCTTCAACACCACACGGGTCCTACCGGACCCGACTTAGGGCCAGGAGGACACAGTAGGGCCTAAAGGCCCGGACTTGGGGTACAGCAGGCCGTAAAGGCCACATTTTGGGACCAGACCCGACGGGCAGGCCCAAACGACATTGCCGTTTGGGCCTGGCGGCGCTCTTGAGAATGCCGCCCGCCGGTTGGGGCTGAACCGTCAATCTCGACGGTTCAGGGCATGGCCAGGCCTCGCAGCATTGAGGCCGGCCTCTGCCCCACCGGTACAAAAGACCGGTCCGGCCTCATTCTGGGGCGTCGAGCCACCAGCATTATGCCGGTGCGTTTCGGTTGGCACGAGGAGTTAGCGCCAGCGCTATTTTGAGCGCAGCGCGAGGAGCAGCGGCAGCAGCGATAGCGCAGCAGCAGCACCAGGGAGCAGCGGCAGCGGCGACTTCGTAGCACGGCGGCCATAGCCGCCTGAGGTACAGGAGGCGAGGTTCTCCTCCTCCCTCCTCGTCGCCAGCCCCCCTCTCTCACTCCCTCCTCCTCTGCCATCTCGTCTCTTCTTCTTCTTCTTCAGGCTTCTTCTTCTTCTTCTTCAGACTTCTTCTTCTTCTTCTTCAGATTGGAGACTTCATACTAGTTGGACAGAGATCAGTGTTGGACTTCGGTGGTATGAGGCTGTGGTACTTACCGGATTCGAGACTTGGAGATTGTTGGGGTTGATACTCGGCGGCATCACAGTTCGGACACCGTTTACATCAGGACTCTGTATCTCCGACATTGGTGACTTGTTGTCCTCGACATTTTGATCTTGTTTGATGACATTTTGGACTACCATATCGGTGACCTATCGGATTCTATCTCGGTGACCTTCGGTGCTGTCTACCTCCCCCACCTCCTTCGTCTCTCCTCCCACCTTTCATCTGTGTATGTGTGTACGGGGCCTGMGCATCGTCTATGCATGGCTCAGACCCCACCATCTCACGATTGTATGTGTGTGGAGTGATATCTGTGTGAGTCAGTCTATGYGAGTCAGTCCGTTTATCAGACTTCCGCTGCATACATGCTCATCCTATATTGGTTGATCTTTGGTTCTGCCCCATACTCGTTGATACATTCACGAGTATGTAACAGTATGTGTGCGTCCCTGTCTGAGTGCTTGTCGGTTTGAGTTTGTGTGTGACCTGCAAGGGTACTCGTCCATATGGGAGGCCCGAAGGACCGGTACTTACCTGTGGCCGTAACATTGAGGGTTGCAGCAAGGAAAACACTCAAGTGGCGGGGAAAGAGGGCCGTGACACTTAGAGCAGCGGAAAAACACTCAAGTAGCAGGTAGGTCGGTACCACACAAGTAGAGGTAGATGTCTCGGGTACTTGATGCCTAGCAGAAGACGACAAAGTTGGCATTTATAGAGGCCCAGTAGTTGTAGGATAGGTCTAGGCGGGTACCAGTCCAARTAGTCTGAGTCTAGGGCCTGTACGGGCAATATCAATGTCTGCAATGGTGTTTCCCTTCGAAAGGGAGGAGGTACCGGTTGCTTGGAGGCCGCGCGGCCTGGAAGTCACCGCCCAAGAGGCAAGCGGGCCACTATATCTCCTGGAGGAGCAAATAGCCCCTCCTCATTCTACTGTGTGCAAGTTCGGCGACATGCTGCTTGGAGCGATGGATGGAGCAGCGCTGCTGGGAAGGAAGGAGCGCCCAGCTCCCCACCTCGGCTATGGTGGAGGAGCACGGACTGGAGGAGGAGGAAGACGAAGACTAGGAATGGGGAGCGCCAGAGGTACTTACCTGGCTATGGTGGATGCCATCTTCATCACCTTGGTGGGCGCTGCATCTGGAAGGCCTCAGTTGGGGTAGAGCTACACCAAGAAGCTTTGAGGCAGAGTCAGGCATGGCGGCCTGAGCTAGAGCAGCCATAGCTGCTTTGAGTTGTTTTTTGCACATCAGGGCAATGCCCTAGCAGTCCGCCATAGCCCCGGCCTTCATGAAGAGGAAGGAGAAGGATGGCCATGGCTATGGTGGACCTCCTGTTGTACCTGCAGTAGAAGAGGGATTCGGACATTGATTCTGGTTCAGCCATTCAACATTATTATTATTCTTTATTGTGAATAAACCTCAATAAAGAGGGAAGGAGAAAAGGAGGAGGAGAGTAGTTGGCGAGAAGAAGGGAATTATCATTGGTCTTTGCTGGTGTACATCTTCTTCTTCTTCTTCTTCTTCTTCTTCTTCTTCTTCTTCTTCTTCTTTCCCTCTCTATCCTCTCAACTTCTCAAGTTCATTCATTTCTTTTTGCAATTCGACGGCATTGTGTTTTCTCATGAATTTGTACTTCGAAATTGGCCAGGTTCATAACAATTCTCTTTTTATTCTCCTGTGTTTCAACTTTTGAACTCCTATTAATAAACCTTGGATGAGAATTGATGTTGCTACTGCTTTGCATCAATCAATGTCCCACAGATCGAATGCACATGGAGGCACATAAGCTCCTAGAGGGGATGGACTTCAAATACAAAGGACCCTCATTAACATTAAACAAGGCAAGCAGCATTAATTCCACCCCACAGCAGCAGATAGCCCATGGTCCCACCTTCTCCACCCACGATCGCTAAGAAGACAGAAGAAGACAGAAGAAGACAGAAGAAGAAGAAGAAGAAGAAGAAGAAGAAGAAGAAGAAGAAGAAGAAGAAGAAGAAGAAGAAGAAGAAGACAGTACGAGAGAATGGCTATGCGTGCATGGTTGACTCTGCTTGCTACTGTGCCCCTCCCAACAGGCTGTTTTTGCCGCAGTCTGCCACATTCTCTCCCTCCCTCCCTTCCTTTGCCCGAAATAGTGCGCATAGCCATTTAGCTGTATCTGGTAACTGTTAAAATACAGACCCGAGTTCGGATCCAGATGCAATCAAATAATTCTTAATTACCTACTAGAAGAAGAAGAAGAAGAAGAAGAAGAAGAAGAAGAAGTCAATATTATCAAAGAATCATAAGTTCTTCAGTTTTCAAAGTTCTTTCGAACCACCGCAACCATGGGCCCAGAAAATGGACACTGGTGCGGATGTTGGGATCTGGTCCAGATGTCCGCAGGTGGCCCAGACGTTCGGATCTTGTCCAGACCTCGAGGTGTGCTAAAAGAAGAATTTTAGTTTCCTTTGAGATATTTATTTTCCTGAAATCTAGTTGCAAATTGGGAAATTGCTTCATCTTATGATCCTGCACAGCATTTCTTTTTCCTTTTTCTTTTTTTTTTTGAATTTTTGTGGGCATCCCGTTTCCAGACAAGGTGCGACAGCAGACTGTCCGTACGGTGACCCGGCTGCTCGGACGGCAGCTAGCCGTGCGCTTCTGACAAACTCTCTCTGCTTTGTGTGTGTGTGTGTGTGTGTGTGTGTGTGTGTGTGTGTGTGTGTGTGTGTGTGTGTGTGTGTGTGTGCGTGCGTGTGGGTGTGTGGGTGTGTGTGTGTGTGATGATGTGTGTGAAACTACGCATGGTAAGTCGTCTCTTACCATGCTCTAAAGTCATCCTCAGCGTGGTAAAAGACCGTAGTATAGTCATAAGTTCTTGTAACATGGTGTGAAACTGTCCGTGGTGTATGGTCTTTTACCATGGTGTGAAACTGTCCGTGGCGTATGGTTTTTTACCATGCTGTAAATTCATCCTCAGGACCTCAGCATGGTAAAAATCATAGTACACACAATACTGTCATAACATGGTGTGAAACTGTTTGTGGCGTATGGTCTTTTACCATGGTAAGAGACCATACACCATACGATCCCAACATCTCAGGAGGAAAATAGGCATGAGCGAGTCAAGTCCGGACTCGCGAAGACAATTCTCAATGCCATACACCCAAATACAGTATATACCCAGCCGAAGGATGAAAGAAAGAAAACACCACTTCCTCAAGTGTCATCCTGGTCGGAGTTTCTTTTTTCTTCTTCTTCTTTTTTAAGGATGAAAGAAAGAAAAAGCAAAGAAAAAAAGCACAAGACTGAAAAAAGAGGGGGGGGGGAAAAAACAAGACGAAGAACGAAAACCAAGATGAATGACAGACTATTCTGAACTTGCATCGACTCATCAGGAGGATGAACCCTCGGCAATCTGCGGAATCTCCATACCGATGCTTTGAGTCATGCGCTCTTTTAACCCCTGTTGAGTGGATGGCCAGCACATGACAATGCAAGCAGAACACGGCAGCAAGGCAGCAAGGCAACAAGGCATCAGGGCACCAGGCAATGCTGACAAAGCAGCCGAACTACACGGCAATCAGGCAAAGCTGCATGGAAAGACATCTCAAGTGGATGGGCAGCACCAGCCAACGAAACGGCAGAGAGAGGGCCACCAAGCAACACTGATGAGGCAGCCAAACTGCACGGCACATAGGGAAGCTGCATGGGAAAAAGATGGGAAGCAGGTGGGCAGCAAGCCAGCAGAGGGGCGCAGACAAGGCAGTGCGCAGATTCAACACGGAACAAATCAGTCCATCACCACCTACTCACACCACAAGTAAGACACCGAAGACTGTTGATTCCCACCACCCTTGGAGCCAAAAAGCCACAGCGACGAACGTCTGTCATCACCCATGGAAGGGGCACCCGCAGACATTACAAACAGAGAAGCCCACCTAAAAGTGTTGCAGGCACTCCAAATGAACCACCACATTATTTGGCACTCCTTGGGGGTGCTCGTTTAGAAACAAAATACTCAGAATAAAAAGCACACAGGGAAGGATATACATTCAAATGATTGAGTGTGTGTGTATTTGACTTGGCAGCTCGAGGTCAATATGAGCAATATGCACGTCAAGCTCCCATGGGGAATCACAAGAGAGAAACTTCGAGAGGGAGATGTGTATAAGGTAGGCAATACTTCCATCTCCCCCCTCACTCCCCCTCCATCACCACCACCCCCCACCTTTCCCCCACTCCCCCGCCCTTCTTCGCCACCTCCCCCATAAATCCTAAATCTCAAATCCTAAACCCTGAACCCTGGACACCCTTTCCGGTCACGAATGTGAACGGTCGGCGGTAGAAGTTCACCGGGTGGTCCTTGCTGCGCAGCCACGACATGCCCAAAATCATGTCGAACTTTGTATCCAAGATGTCAAAGGACACGGCCTTGCGTGCGTGGGGGGCGAAGTACACGGGGACGGAGTCAACGCACCGGTCAATGGACTTGTGCGTAAGTGATTTCACATGTGGCCAGTTGCTCAGTGAGTGTTGCATACTGTAACTGTGCAGACCAGAACAAGAGCCGACCTCTCAATACAAAGTATAAGATAGCACAGCGGAAGACTTAGATACCAGTGATCCGAACAATCAATATTGCAATGCAGCTCTGAACATACATCATCGTCATCGTTACACGGTGTGAATGGGGTCTGGCGCTTCACACAGGAAGACTGCGCCAGCCCCTACCATACACAGACGAAGAAGAAGGGGTTAGACGAAGAGGAGGGGAAGATGGGAATGTCGTCAACACCAAGTCTCGGCACAGGCCCAAATAGTCCCTCGTTGAAATGTCTGAATCCCAATGTCAAGTCTGGATCCAATGTCGTCAAGTCTCAAGTCACAACTCTGTCTCTCTCTGTCGTAGTCTGAGAAGTCAGGTGGTGAGAGGGTGAGAAGAGATGGTGGACTTAGAAGAGGAAGAAGAACTCTCTCTCTCTCTGTGTCCAGTACTAACCTGTGAAGTTGGCGCCTTGATGCAGGTACCTCGAAGATGGAGCTGGAGCTATGGCGCCACAGGTAARTAYYGCTGGCCTCCGCCAGCCATCTCTCCCAACTCTACGATCTACCACCTAATAGCGCCCAGCGCTGAAGACTACCCTACAGCTATGGGCGCCCAGCGCCGAAGACTACAGCTAACGCTGAAGACTACTGCCTAGCGCTGAAGACTACTGCAGCGCTCCTCCTGAGTGCTGCGGCCGAATCCTGAAGACTACTCGTGCCTACTGACAACTACCTACCCATGAAGTGCATGGGAACTTCCTATGTACTGCCGGGTGTGCCTCCTGACTCGTGCGAGCAGTCCAGGAGGCTGCTCTTGCCAATGCCGAAGGAAGGCAGGGGCTGCAGCTGCAGCTCCTGCTCGAGCTGGCGTGGGGAACAGGCCAGAAATAGCCTGTTCCAAAACCCAGTTTTYGTGCCTGAGTCTCAGGGCAGGTCGAAACAAATGAGGGCCTGAAAATGGCCCTCCGTTTCAGGCTGGAAAGCCTCTGGGCCTGAAAGGCCCAGAAATAGGCTGAAAACGGAGTAGGGCCTGCAGGCCCTCGTTTTTCAGCTTTCAGGCTGAAACGACCGGGGCCTGTAAGCCCTAAGTTTAGGCTTTTAGGCTGAAAGTGCGGGACGGGCCCTGCAGGGCCCGTGTGGCTACGCAGTATGCCACAGTGAGGCTCCAGGCAGATCCTGCCCAGGGTACCTAGGCGTGCAAAAACAAAAATAATTTTTTTTTTTTTTTTTTTTGGTTTTCTGCGGTCTCCCAGACCCCAACTCAGGGCTCATTTTTTTTTTGCGAGTTTGCTTTCAAGTGGGGGGGGAGGGGGGTACATATTGGTTTTAAAGGGGCTAAACGGGTTTAAAGTGGGGTGCCTTAGTGTGATGCTGTTTTTTTTTTTTTTTATCTCCGATTCCTGGAGGAATTCCTTTTCTGTTTTTTTTTTTTTTTTTTTTTTTTTGGGGGGGGGGACGATGCTCCAATCTATTCGTCGGGAGCAACACGGCTGGGAACCGGGCGCAGCGTCCCTTATCAGAATGCAAAAAATGAGCTACCGGGGCCATTACCCAGCTTCGGCTAAGAACAATTGAAGAAAAGGAAAAGCTCAGAAACATTCATGGACAACTACTCTCTACCAAGTCACTAGAATATGTGTGTCAAAAAGCCTCCCAACCACTAATCAGATAGGTGAAACCTATTCAATCCACCTACGACCACAACCAGCATGGCTGTTTTCAGCACGAACCGAAGCTTTTCCAGGCCTCATGCTCCCATCAGGTTAGGTTACAGAGTTGCACCACTTCGCTCCAGCACCGACCAGCATTGCTCCAGTTACGAACCCCGATAACCACTGAGACTGCCCCTGCTAATCATGTCCTTTGCCTAACTGTAACCGTTGCCTACGGTCTTCCCCCAAACATAATGCGCTGAATGCACCCTCATCAGCAATGTATGAGAGTGCCTCTGCTCACCAGACACCAGCACTGCTGGCAGTACTCTACACAGCCTGTGGTGAGTGGAGCATTGCCATACTACCCTGAGGTAAAATTACCACATTAACCCAGCACGCTGACCAGTATCTACTCTACACAGTAATTACTAGTTACCCTGCAATTACCCCCAGGGTAATTACTAATTACTGTCAGTAGGGTAATCATTACATCACCCACAGTAATTACCAAGGAAAATCAATGGTCAGAAATGAAGAATCCAGGTCATGGTGGGTAGGATCTCGCCCCAGGGGCCCAGGGCAAGGTCCCACTAGCAAAGAGTATTGGATTTAACACCTTTGTGTGGACATGTCTGTGGAGATGTGGGGAACATCACGATTAGTGCACGGCCCCAGCCTTGCTGAAAAGAAGCTTGTCGTCCATCCGAAAAAGCCGGGGCCGGGCCGTTGTTGATAAATTCCATCAGCAGCCTTTGTGGCGTTTCGGCCTCCAAAGGGGCCTGCGGCCAATGTATGGTGTGTACTGGTGGTTTAATCCAATCCTCTTTGCCAGTGGGACCTTGCCCCAGGGGTCCTTCATCACCGTTGCTCTTCTGTTCTTTTTCTTTTCAGTCGTCACTCAGAAGGGAGAAGATATGCATCACCGCATCTGAAGATCAGTGGTCAGTCTTGTGACCACTTATGTCCCACATTTTTTTCTGGGGGATATCGGGAAAAGAAAAAGGTGGGGGGTGGAGGGTGGCGGAAAGGGGGAGGGGGGGGACATTAACAAAGACCAAAAGAAGCTCAAACCAGCACTACCTCCGAGCCTAAAATCCAAACTGGCGCAGGTAAAGGCCTATGGTGCGCTGCCAGCCAAAAACATCTGGTACGCCGAACCTTTCCGTGACCCCACATTACACCACCAGTACGAGCCCCGTCCTCCAGAACTTTGAACAAAATAGCTGGGAAAAGTAGTGGTGGTCTAGGTTGTTTTTTCAGGCGCCCAGGCACCTAGCTTGTGCCCGGATACATGCCCAAGTGCCCGGCCGGGCATGACCCCCGGGCAGGGTTCCAGGCAGCCCCAGCGCAAAAAAAAAAAAAAAAAAAAAAAAACGAAAGTCAAAAAATTCCAGAAAAAAAACATGTTGTGTAGAATTGCAATACAAACAACTTTTGGCTGAGGGTCACATCAGAATTCCTCATCGAATCGGAGATAAAAAAGCAAATAACAAAATCACACTAAGGGACCCCCCTTTAAACCCCCTTAGCCGCTTTAAAAACAATTTATACCCCCCTCCCCCCCCCTTTGACAGGCAACTCTCAGGAGCCCGGATTTGGGGTCCTCTGGGAGAGCGCAGAAAGCAAAAAAATAAAAACATTTTTTTTTGCACGCCTGGGTGCCCGGCCGGGCATGAAAATCTTCCTAGGTGGTGGTTTAATTGGGTGGAGAAGGGGAGGGGGGGGGGAAGGACAGGCCAGCTGGACAGGAACAAGAGCAGAAGGAAAAGAATTAAAGAACGGAGAAGCTGCATGGCAATCGCTGTTGGACTTTTGCCTAGCATGCAGAACAGCAGAAAAATTGACAGTTTGCAACCGTGATTGGAAGTTTTTCAATACATCCTCCAACTTTTCATGTTCTACTGATTGAAAAAAATACAGAAATGCGAACATCTTATTTCATTTTTTCGTTTTCCCATGACTTGTATGAATGAATAAAACGGAAAACAGGTGGACAAAAACGTTTACGCAGCTCTAGCAGATGAAGACATGACAGAGAGATATGGAGCTTGTGCGATTGTAAGTCCTTTAGCCTCCCTCCTCCTCTTCCTCCTCCTCCCCCACCTCCTCCTCCTCCCCCACCTCCTCCTCCTCTATCTACTTCCTCCTCCTTCTCCCCCACCCGCCGCCGTTGTCCTCCTCCTTTGGAAATTTATTCCGTGTATCCCACATCCCAAGGTGCTAAGCTTTCTTCACCAGAAGGGGGGCGGGGGACACATTTCATTTAGAGTCCTACTTTGGTCCTCTTTCCTGTTCCTCCCTTCTCCTCCTCTTCTAGGATTCTTTAGAAATAACTTGCTAGGTTCCCTTTCCAACTCCTTTAAAAAAATGGCAGAAAAAAAAAATTCTCTTTTTCCCCCCTATTTGTGCAGTACTCAGGGGGCAAGGTCACAGTTGAACAGACGAAGAGATACGAGTGTTCGATCCTTAAAATCTACTGATGACAGTATCTCCTAATCCGTGCAGGTGTGCCCTTGCCCCAAAACCATAAGAGAAGTCGTTGTCTGGGAGATGATTTCTTTTAATGTTTCTTAAAGGGGTTAGGCCCTACCATTGTAATGCATCTAGCTAGTCGTTCTATCGCTATCATTGCGTGGCATAAAATGGTGGCAGGAAATGTGGTTACTCGACATTCTAGCCTCCCACAGTAGTTATAAATAGGTGAGCCTCTTTTTCTTTTTCTTTCTCTTTTTCTCTTCCTGTCTTTCCCTTATCCTTTTCCTTTTTCTTTTTTTCCCTACATCATTAACGGTACTAGTCGACGCAAATGCCCCAATTCTATAGTTATCAAATTGCTATCTCAACTTTTTTTCACTTCAGAAATTGACTTTTTTGGGGGTAATAAATAAGATTTGCGAGGACCTCGGGAGGTGCTCACAAAAATGTAACACTTGACGGCTTCACAAGTCTGGTCTAAAGTCCTTATTCTCTATTTGTCGTATGAGTCTGCCTGCTTTTCATACCTTTGTATTCAAGAAAAAAAAACAATACCTCTCAACTTTTTTTCTCTGAGGGGAACCTATATTGACTTGTATTATGCGCCAATAAAAATGAACTAGTAGGGCACAAATATTCCTTTGGCTGGCGGCACCAGCCAAAGAGATCTGGTAGGTAACCCCCCCCAAATATTGTCATTGTATACAAAATTGCTGGAACAAAATGGCCTGGTCAAACGCAAAGTACATAACAATTATTCACTCCTATAGATAAGTTGTTGAAATAGTAGGACTTGCGAAAAGAACCTATTGGAAAAAGGATGGATAAATCCTATTTTTTTCTCCCTATAGTGTTCTAGTCCTATTTATACCGATAAATAAATGAGAAATTAGACTCTCCATAAACTATCGAGGTTTGAATGTCGTAACCATGGAAATGGAAGAGCCTCGAGCTAAGATAGACGATTTTCTTGATAACGTGCAAGATTGCAATTTGCAAGTATTTTCCCGAAAACGATTTTAAGTCAAGTTGTTTGTTTGATAGAGTTAGCCTAAGAAGAACATCATAAAGATGGGGGTTTCACAAGGTACGGAGTCTACCGACACTACGAGTATGTTGTCATGGCTTTTGGTCTGACGAATGACCTTGCAACCTTCTGAAGATCAATTTAATAAACTGTTGAAGGAATGATCAGACGAATTTATGGTTTTCTACCTTCATCGCATTATGGTGTTTAACAAAATATGAGAAGAACATGATGCATATCTATAATTTTTTTTTAACGGGTTACGAAAATATAATCTTTGAACTAATCTAAAAAAATTCAAGTTTGCAAAGTTGTAAGTCTTATATCTTAGATATGTCATTAGTCGGTTTGAAGAGAAAAAAATGACTGTAATCAAAGATTGGTCGAGACCTTGCGCTTTAATAGAAGTGAAAATTTTCCTTAAATTAACAAATACAACTAGAAAAAGTTTGTAGGGATTTTTCTGTTATAGTTGTTACTTTGAAGAAAGTTTTTATGAAAGAGGCAACTTGGTTGTGCACTTGGAGATTGAAAGTCTGCATTCAAGACATTAAAGTTTTGTAGAAGTTACTATCATATTTCCAAAATCGCAAACCCATCGCTAATATTTGTTGTTTCTATTAATGCAAGTCAGTATGGGATTGGCGTTGTTATGCAACAAGACGATGGGTATGACTATACAAGACGATGGGAATGACTATATATGTGTACGATTTCTGTCTAAATGACTCACGTCTGAGAAAGTCGCCGCATCCACTTATAAGAGAGAAAACTTTGTGCGTTGTTTGGGGTATAAATTTACTATAAAACTTAGAAATACTTCGTTAGGCTGATACTTCAAGGTCTACTTTGATCATGAGGCCTTGCAATGGATAAAGGTTCAACCAAAGTTGTCAGAAAGTTAGCTAAATGGTTGTCAGTCATAAAGATATTGTCACATATATGACACCATATTGAAAACCATCAAAGGCGAATACAATGTGGTAGCATATGCACTCTCTCGCAAACCCGACATCTTTGGGACCATAGTAACTTACCTAGATGCAGAAAGCGAATTTAGATAATAAACTAGAATTTGTTATCCTCATATCAAATATGAAAATGATAATTAACACTCTATATAAAAATTTTTGGAACTAGTCCTGGATTGCAAAATGACTAATGGGCTTACATTTCATACAAATTAAGACAAGAACAAATCTGCATTCTTATCAAAGAAACTATCCAAAGTTTAATCTTAGAGGAATGCATTGATATGAAAGATCAGATATGAAGCTTATCACCTATTACCAAAGGATTTGCAATGCTTCGGTAAGAAGATATCAGGAAAGTAAATGAAAACATGCGGAAAGTTCAACGATTGAGCAAGCTAAGAAACATATAATTCCTTCATAGTTCGAAGAAGGCGATCTAGTATGGGTTAGATCTAACGAATTCTCCCTTGATGAAGGAGAAACTCGAAAGTTATTCCCTTCCTATTTTGGTTCGTGGGAAGTTCTCAAAATCATAGGAAATCAAGATGGTTGATTATATGTGATTGGATCAATTACACCTGAACTTTTACGCTACATCATAGAAATGGTTTTCCTAGTTTAAGACTTGTGATTATCTTGTCTACGGATGGAGGGTATGAAGTAGAATATTCATATTAAGAACATTATTTTTTTCCATTGTACGAAGACACAGACCCCATAAGCGTTATAAAGTCTTCCAGTCTCGACCACCGTCTGAAGACGCAGATAGCTTTTGCCAAAAAGAAGTGTTGTGAACTACTCATGATATAGTTGTTGGCCCTTGTTGGGTATGAATGAAAATGTGGGGAAATTAGAGAAGTTGTAGCCATTGAAAAATGAAATTTATGCTATGGAACTTGAAACCGAGATGGCAGGAGTGCAAACAGCTGAGGTCAAACCAGCACTGAACCATGGCCAGGGTCATATAGTTTGGCTAAGACAAAATTAGATGGGCAAAACTCATTCTCAGGGTGTTTAAAGAGATCCCTCCAACGGCCTTAGGTTGGAAGGCCAGGGATCAAGGGTCAAATCAAGGTACCCACGGTCTATAGAAGTCAAAGCAGGCCTAGGGAATAGTCAACAATCAGGCCCAACCCAGGCACAAAAGACAAAGAGTCAAAAGACTCACAAGGTTTCACAAGGTTTCTCAGGAGTCAACCACAGCCACAGATTACAGACAATCCAAAGAATTGTTGTTTAATTAAATCTGAGATAATTACCCAAAATTGAGAGTTGCTTTTTAGGGTCATTCCTATGGAGAGGGAATATTGTCTGCTGGATATTATTCCCTCTCTTTCCCGCCTAGGAGGGAGAGGGGGAGAGAGAGAGAGAGAGAGAGAGAGAGAGAGAGAGAGAGAGAGAGAGAGAGAGAGAGAGAGAGANGAGAGAGAGAGAGAGAGAGAGAGAGAGAGAGAGAGAGAGAGAGAGAGAGAGAGAGAGAGAGAGAGAGAGAGAGAGAAATAGTGAAAGACACAGACAAAGTCATAAAGAGAGGGAAAGAGAGGAAAGTGTGTTCTGTGGACATTGTGATTCGAGACCCATAAAGTGACACTAAAAAAACTTTTTAAAAGAAAAAATTTCAATGTCATGCAATTACAAAAATATCTCCAAATTAACTAAATGGCAGTTAAAGGCTCAATACAGTTTCCGGAAGTTTCCAAGGCTCACTGGGTAAAGGCACACTCTGGCCTCAAGAAATTTTGGCCACACAGACCAGGAAATCTCAGCCACACGAGGAGGCAGAGGCAGGCAAGGCTGAGTCAAAGCTACAAGTACTGGCCTTACCCCAGGATTCTGCCTTGCACTATTTTGAAGCTGGACGCTGCTGCTTGAGCGTGAGAGATGGAAAAAGGGAGACAAAGAGTGAGAGCGAGAATGAGAGTAGCCAAGCCCGCCCATGTGTGGGGCGGTTTGGGAAAGAAAAAGAAAAAAAAAAGTGAGAGTAGCCATAGCTAGGATAGGTGGTGCACATCAACCATAGCTTAAACCACCAGTACTTGGCCCAGCTATCAGCCGCGGAAAAAAAAAAAAGAGTAGAAACGTTTCTAGTCAGATGAATTTGGGCGCTCCTGTAGTGGCCCGTACGTTTCCTAAAATCATGGCTCGTGAACGGGCACGACTGTAGGAAGTGCTGGTGGTTTAACATGAGACTCTGAGGTTTCAGGGGCGGTCATATCCTGTTTTTTTCTTTTCTTTTCTTTTCTTTGTTTTTGTTTTTTTTTGTTTTGAGAGAGAGAGAGAGAGAGAGAGAGAGAGAGAGAGAGAGAGAGAGAGAGAGAGAGAGATTTCATTTGGGAATTACTTTGGGGTCGTAACTTCAGTCTTTTGTTTTCTTAACTGACCTGAAATTTTCCTACAGGGTTTCATTTGGGATTTTTTGTTTGGGTTTTCTTTCTTTAATGTGCTCTTAGAATTGCTTTGCGGTTTGCATAGTCATTTGCGTCAGGCTTCACCTCGGGGTCTGGTTCAGTATTTGCTCTCGAGTGTGGGAGTTGGTTTAATGTCGTTTTTTTTTTTTTTCCCCTTTTTGAATGGCACACAGGTAGGAAATAGCGGAGCACTCTTGAATGCCGAGTACGGGCGTGATATAGACTCGCATGACATGGTTTACAGATTTAATCAGGTCCTGTTCTTTCCCCTCCTCTCTCTTCTGTCTCTTTCCTTATGCTTTCCTTATGCTTTCCGTACGCCTTTTTTTTTTTTTTTAAGAAAAGGGCTCTCACTAGGCCACTAGAGAGGGTGATAGGAGCAGCCCTCGCAGGTGGGGAGCAACACCTGCTGGAAACCGGGTCCAGCGTCCCTTCAGGCATATAACACATCAATGTTGTTTGACCGGCATATAGAAGAACATGCTTTCCTAATGCTCTCCCTTGCATGGCATGGTTTGCAGAAGGGCAATGCTGGAACATCCTATGGGGTTCTGCAGTTTTTACATGCACATCGTGTCCTCCGCGATAGTAAAGCCTCCCACATTGTGCTACCTTTCTGGACCCTACTAAGGACGTCGTTAGATACTGAGGCTCGGGGCGTCCTCGGGCTCCGAGGATGAATCCTCGGAAAAGTTTACGGTTTTCGTCGTCTTCGTTAGACTCGTCCTCGGAGCGTTTTGCTTTAGGACTCATCCTTGGAGGGATGTCAGGGGAAAAAAAAAAAAAAAAAAAAAAAAAACAGGGGTTCTTCAGGATTTCAGCCAATAGGGTGCTGCCACGATCCGGATTCTTGGGTGCAACGTCTCTCTATGTGCAATGCCCTCTCCTCTCCGTGAAACACGGATCCTCCGGCCCCAAGTGACCTCGCGAGATCCCTTGGAGTCGAGGACGATTTGGCTGGGAAATCCTCGGAGCCCAAGGATTTGTCCTCGGAGTGTTTTCACATTTTCATGTACGATTTCATCTCCGAGGACAGGTGGAACGAAGATGGAATCCTTGGAATCGCGTCCCCGAGGAGTGTCTAACGACGCCCTAAGGATAAGTGTGGTGGGTTACCCTGAAGAAGGGGATTTTGCATATGAGATGGCCACCCCGATCTGCGCCGTCCCCATTGACCCCAGCGAATGGGAGTGGGAGTCTGCCACCTCAACAGTGCAGAAAAGGTGGGCAAGGGACTCCCCCTTGAATGCAGCTTTTAAGTACACAAGAAGGGGCGTGGACATCATAGGGGCACTCACCCTTACCCGTGTGGCCCCAGCACTATGGGAGGCCCTTGACCACCTTGTACATAAGCTTCATGTCAATTTGTACCACAACGCATCCCACATCTCCAGGTAAACAGCCCATCCAGATATGGCAATACACTGTGAAAAAAAGGATACATTGCACTATGTTCAAGAAGTGCAGAAAAGGTGGGCAAGGGACTCACCTTTGAATGCAGCTTTTGTACAAGAAGTGCCGTGGACAGCATACACCCATAGCATGCCAACCTCCCAAAGGGCCCTGCAGTGGCAAATCCTGCATCGATGTCTGCCCATTCCTGATTGGCTGGTCTCTCATATGGCCTTGGAGCAAAAAGGAGTGCTCTCCCCTGTCTGCTCCTACTGCAGCCTCTCTTCGCAAAAACAAAGAATTGCCTTCCTGCAGCACTGCCTATTAGGCTGTCCAAACAGTCCAATGGCAATCCAGATCTGGAGACGGGGTGGGACGCGTTGTGGTATACATTGACATGACAGGTAGCTCTCTCCCGTGGGATGGCAAATTTATTTTACTGGGTAGGCAGAAAGACTACCCTGGGAAATGGACGACATTCCAGCATAACCTCTACAAGCGGATGAGGTTGGCAGTCCGGAGGTTATTTCGAGAGCGAGATGCTCGGCAGAAACAAAAGAGTGTAGTTTCTGACTCTTTGTTTTCCTGTGAAAAAATTTACCGCACCCGGACCACCCTGCAATCCCCACACTCTCCCTCCGGCATGACTTACTACAACTGAGTCACCATCTCTGTTGCTTCCGTGCCCTGATTCCATCCTGCCAGATAGTCCCATCTCCGGCAAGACGCATGACATCCCAGCCACATTGCACGCACCCTTGCGGAAGGGCAAGCTGGAGTTAAGCTCTCTTTGCGACCTGAACCCCTACCGTCTTCACCTGAATACGCCCGGTCATTATAGCCGTATCTGGACTGAAAATTGCACCAAATACAGCTCTTGACCGGGCGTTCTATTCGGGTGAAGATGGTAGTGTGTTTCCACAGGCAAAAGCCGAAAAAGTGGAAACGTAGTAAAAAAATGCCCGAAGATTGGCGGGGAGCCAAAGCGGGCGGGCGCAGCGCTGCCGGGAGCGCTGGGCCCCGCCCGACGCTACGTGTTCCTGGAGATGGCGCGAGGCGGCGATGGCGTCCTTTTTTGAAGTCCTGGCGCTTAGCGCACGCGCAGGAGACCGCACGCGCTTGACCACACCATCTCACAAGTTGATGTGGCAGATGGTCTGACTCCCGAGGGCGTTTCGTTTCTGGGAGTTCCACGTTTTGCTCCATCGCCGCTGCGTTTCTGCACGTGGCTTTCGGCCTGAGAGGCATTGGCTTTGTCGATGTCTGTGGAGTACAGTGGAGTTAGCCCTAGGTGCCCTGAAGTGTGAGTGATTACAGTAACGGCCTGCCATTGGGGTACTGCTCGCCATCATCCTTGACCATCACTATCACTATCAGGTCGCGCCATCACAACGAGGCTATCAGGGGCGCAGTTCGTCATCAAGCTGAGGATTGTCATCATCATCTTCAAGGTTTCATCATCAAGGGTTGCTAGCATCATCATTATCAGGGTGCTGCTTGTCATCATCATCATCATCGGCATCATCAACAGGGCGTGGTTCATCATCATCATCGACATCGTCATCACGAAAATGTTTCGTCATCATCATCAGGGGGCCGCTCGACGCTCGTCACCACCATCATCATCGTCAGGGTACTATCATCAAAGGTGCTCGCCATCATCATCATCATCATCATCATCATCATCAACATCATCATCATCATCATCATCATCATCATCATCATCATCATCAGGTTATCATCAAAGGTGCTCGTCATCAATACCATCATCATCCTTTTGTCATTACAGGGCGTTGTGCATCATCATCACCATCATCACCATCATCATCATCATCATCATCATCATCATCATCATCATCATCGTCATTATCAAATCATCATCATTAGTGATGCTCACCATCACCACCATCATCATCGTCATCATTAAATCATCATCACTGGCGTTGCTCACCATCACCACCATCATCATCCTGTTGTCAATACAGGGCGCTATGCGTCAGCATCATCAGCATCAGCATCGGCATCATCAGCATCAATCATCATTAATCGTTTGCACAGCAGGAGAGTTGGTCGTTACCTTCATCCTAATCATCATCATCTTTAGGGAACTGTTCACCGTCATCAACAAAATCCAAAAAAAAAAAAAAAAACCATCTACCGTTTCCCCATCACGATTTTCGTTTTCCTTTTTCCACTATTAATTTAAAATTCCCCTTTGGACACACTAATGAATTATCTTTGATCGGGTGGGTTGTTGGGGCTTTAAGGAGGAGAGCTCTACTCTGCAGGGGTTTCACAAGGCGGGGGGTGAATGCCCTGGAGGGAGGGTGGGCAGATCTTGGGGGATGCCCTATTTTGGGGCTGGGAGAGATGTATGGGGTGACATCATATCCCAGCGGAGGCAGTTTGGGGTACAGGGGTGGCTGAGGCATACTTTGGGTGGGATGCCTTAGTGGAAGATGGGGGAGGAAGCAGGTATGTCCCAAGTTGGGGCCGATAAGGGAAGTTTGTGATC